TTCCAACTATATACATTTTAAACATGTGTAGAAACCTAAACATACATATCCAAATGTCCATATCAAGTTATACAGGTAAGGATAAATAACACACAAATACATAGTTATTAATATATTGTTGTCATATATTTATTATAAGCCTATAAATATAGATAAAATGTATGTAGAACTAAGGAGATGAGTAATATCATTATTATGAATATATAGCTATATTTACATTGGCTTATCAGTTATCAATTATCAAGCTATGTGAAATAGCTTGTCTAGCAATGCTAATTATACCCTGTAATACTATTAAATACATGAGTTGCCTGATTTTCCCAGTCTCAGTTCCTTTACTTCAGGACTTATACTCTCCATTTTCTTTTCCTTTTAAGAGGATAATGCTGATATTCCTAGTGAGATTTGGTCTTGATTCCTGAAGTGTTTGTCAAGCATCCAGTGGGGTATTGAGTATTTCAGAGTCTGTCAGCTTTATTATGAAGATCACAAGATATTTGATATATGTGTTTAATATCTGGTTCTCTGGGGTTCATTTGATGCCAATAAGTGTTGCTGTTCTCAGAGAGTAGATAAAAAGAAAATTTAAAATCCTTTAAGTTCCTTTTTGCTTAGCAGCAACATCATCTTAACTTCATAATTACATTTTAGCCATTTAAAGATGTGGGGTTACTATTATTCTGTCTCCTTGTGGCTCTTGCTGCTCGATGATGTCTCTCAGTCACCAGTGAAGGCAAACCGCATCCAGTGGTTTAGAGAGCTTGTTCAGGAGAAAGCTAATCATATTTCCCACACACACCTTCCTGCACTTCAGGGACCCATCAGTCACCTCAAATTATTCCTATGTGATTTGTTTTCAAGATTTTCTTTGCTTTAAGAAAGCATTCTCCATTTTAACCTCTGTCAGTTCTATGGCAGATTTTCGTAGTTCACTATCTAAATAGATCAAAGGAGCATTGACTTCTCCCACATCTGTAAAGAGCTCATGTATATCTTGCAGGGTCAAAAGTAACTTAAAAGGCTGCCAGTACAGGGACCCAGCTCCAGGGCCCTCAAAGAGGTGGGACCTCAGGTGGAACGGGTGAGGCTGGATGCCTGCCTCTCCGAGTCAGCCCTTCAGTGCTTCCTAACCCAGGACATCCAAGGGCTCCAGCAGCAATTTAAATGGACGGGGATCATAAGTGCCAACTTTCATTTTTCCAAGGGGTGCTCGACCCCCCTTCTGTCCAGGCCCTCCCCACTCTAACCCTTCCCTGAAACCTCACTCTGTCTCTTCCCACCCCTGCTCTATCCTCACTCCACTTCTTCTCCACCTCCTCCCAGTGTGTCCCCCTCACTCCCAGAGCTGGAATGCTGTGAACCAGCTGTTTGGAGTGCTCCAGAAGCACTGGGAGGTGGGGCAAGGAGTTAGTAAGCACAGGACCACAGTCACGAGAGACGTACGGGGGAGAGGAAAGAGAGTGGGAGTTTTGTGTTGGTGGGTGCTCCACACCACCTAGTTACTGCCTGTAGATGTTCCAGACCCAGAGCACCCACAGAGTTGGCTCTATACCAGCCTTGCACCTCTGCTATCTTATGATACATGATCAAATTGCGAAGCTAGAAAGTCCTTCATAGGTGCACAGTTCTACATGAAATACTGCTGGGTTTTCTCAGCCTTGCCTTTCTCTGGGGATTCAGGCTTGGGTTGTTTGGCATTTCTGTTTTTTTGAAGAGAATACAAAGGGTACCCTTCATCTAGTCAGTAAATTTGTGGCCAAAAGTTATGGTTAAATATCTAGGAGCCCTTAACTGAGGAGGGCTTAAACATCTTTAAAAAATCTGGGCTTAAGACCCTGAATCAAATGCCCATTGAAATCAGGGCCTTACACTTCACAAACTGGAGACTCAGGCTGTGTCTAGACTGCATCCCTCTGCCGACAGAGGGTTGCAAATCAAGCACTTCGGAAGTGCAAATGAGCCCGGGATTTAAGTATCCTGGGCTTCACTTGCATACTCACTTTCCAACGTTGTGCCGATCAGGCTCAGTGTCGAAAATGAAAGTAAAGTGTAGCCGCAGCTCTGCCGACAGCGGGGAGATTTTTTAGAGGAGTCGAGGAGTTGCTGAAAAAGCTCCCCACTGTCGGCAGAGCTGCAGCTATACTTTATTTTCACTTTCGACATTGAGCTGATTGGTACAGCATCAGAGGGATGCAGTCTAGACACAGCCTGAGTCTCCAGTTTGTGAAGTGTAAGGCCCTGACTTTAATGGGCATTTGATTTAGGGTCTTTTGGCCATAAATTTACTGACTAGATGAAGGGTACCCTTTGTATTCTCTTCAAAAAAAACAGAAATGCAGGGATGCAGTCTAGATGTAGCCTCTGAGATAAAATTTTGGCCTCATTGAAGTCTATGCTAAACCCCTTTAACATCAATAGGGTCAGGATTTCACAGCGGGGGCTATGAAATGACACTAGCATGCAGTCTCTGTCAATTTGAGTTGGATTCAAAGCAGTAACCCAGGAGAGTGAGCCTGCGTAATCTGGACTGTGGAGAGACTAGCTGGGCCCCTGGGCAAGGTGGAAGGGGCCCAGCTCCATGCCCCAGAGGGGCAGGAGCCTCTGGCAGAAAGGGGAGGACTGAAGATAGCCTCCACCAGCCAGGCCTTCAGGAGCATCCAGAAAGTGCTCTATGGTGCTCCAGGAGCACTTTAAAGGGCTGGATTCCAGTCTCTGCCCTTTTAATCCATCAACAAGCCTGTGCATAATGCATTATTCTTCCCAAGAGCTCTGAGCAATTTTATTGATTCAAAGGTTAGAAGAAGCATAGTGATCATTTAGTCTGACCTCCTAGAACTTCCCCAAAATAATTCCTAGAGCATGTGGCTTAGAATAACATCCAATATTGAGTTAAAAATTGTCAGTGATAGAGAATCCACCATGACATTTGGTAAATTGCTCCAATGATTAATTGCTCTCACTGTTAAAAATTTATACCTTCTTTCCAGTCTGAATTGGTCTAGCTTCAAATTCCAGATATTGGCTCAGGGTATATCGTTCTCAACTAGATGGAAGAGGCAGGCCATTATTAAATATTTGTTTCCCATGTAGATACTTATAGACTAGAACCAAGTATACCTCTTAATCTTGTCTCCTTCCACCTTGTTTGAACAGAAGGATTAATCTATAATTTTGAACTCCCATTATTTTAGTCTAGACAGTGAAAAAGAGCAATGAAAAAATAGTTGGATTAGTTTTTCAGTCACCTTCCTAAAATTCCCTTTACTGGAGGAAATACTTGAATATTTCAAATGAATATCCTTACAAAATTCTCTTTTGTAAATGGCGACGTTTTCTATACTTCTTCTAAAGAAAGGCCTTTCACTAAACCTGTAAGGCTATGTCTAGACTGCAAGCCTCTTTCGAAAGAGGCTTTTTCGAAAGTATCTTTCGAAAAAGCCTCTTTCGAAAAAGAGCGTCTAGACTGCAAGCAGTACTTTTGAAAAAGCAAGCCGCTTTTTCGAAAGAAAGCAGCGAGTGAGTCTGGATGCTCTCTTTCTAAAAAGCCCTGTTGGCATTCAAGAACGCCTTTTTTCGAAAGAGCACTTTCGAAAAAAGGCGTTCTTCCTCGTGAAATGAGGTTTACCTTTCGAAAGAACGCGGCTGCAGTCTAGACGCAGGTGATATTTTTTCGAAAAAAGGCTACTTTTTTCAAAAAAAACCCTGAGTCTGGACACAGCCTAAGGGAAGATTCAGGTCCATTGCTGCTAGTGTGCCAATGATTTACAATGTGTACATATAATTCCTAAATGGTCACTTAATTGAAATATTTAATTAAAGATCAACTACAATTGTAATCTTGGAAAGTAAAGGAAATTCAAAATACGCAACAAGGGAATTGATTATGTAAACCAATATAAACTGGAAATGTTCAGTTACTAGCTAGATCCTCAGGTGACAGAAGATTATCTACTTTTAAGTAATGTATTATTTTTGTTTGTTTCCTGGTAGATGGGGTAAATTCAATGGCAGCTCAGAATGCTCAGTACCTCACTAGATTAGGACCTCATTTAGTCTTGCTTATTTTTCCCATTAAAAAGATGTAATGAGACTAGGTACCAAGTCACATAATTTCTAAGTTTGGTGTTCCTTCTTGCTGAAGCATATGGTACAGGTCTCTATTCTAAATGGACCCACTGGTCTGGCAACTCCCATGGTATATGTCCATTTCTAGACAGCACAAATTATTTGCATTAGAAATGCATTAGCAATATTTCTTCTGACTCTGCTGTATTCTAGATTGCAAATTTTACTTTTTGTTTGACATTGGAAATGAAATTATTTTTTCCATAACATAAAAATGATTGTTTATACCCTGGTATCCAGACATTTCCCCCATAAGTGACACGTTTTCCTTTTGGAAACAGCATATTTAAGATATGACCAAGTTACATTAGCTGACACGATGGTTGTTTGATTACAAAAAGAAAACCAAGTTTTCAGTGATGGCCTATATAGGACAAGTTGAGCAGGAAAATTCATTTAGCCGCTCATTGTTATGCACTAGACTGGAGTCAATATTATATTCAGTGAGCAGGTGTGAAGCTGTTTAGTAAGCCCTGGAATAGAACTGTGAAAAACACAAAATTGTAAGAGTGATTCTGGAAACTATTCAACAATGAAGACAATCACACTAGAGTTAAAGCAATGCTATTAAATAATGAACAGTAATAAGTGAATGCTGTAAATTGGCATGTGCTGCCTGCTGCAAGCTAAAGGATTAAATCAGAACCATGTAATTTGCCAAAAGAGCAGGGCTTCAGTCTACTGGAGGTGAATGTTTTTTCAGTGCATGATATTATTTTGTGGAAAGTCATGAACCCCATATTTGGACTATAATTCTACCTCCCTCTCCTGATGAAGCCTGAATGATTTCAGATCTCTATACACTTTCATTAGAACCAATTACAATCTATTTTATTACTTTCTTCTAATTTATTTTATCTATTTCTTCTCCATAGATCATTTTTGCAGTGAAAAAAGTATGAACCCTGCTCATTTAAATATGTGAGCATTTTGCCTGCATGAAATAATCTACTGACGTGAGTGTGTTCATGCATATATTTTTAGTCTTCACTATAGAGGTATGTGGTTCATAGTCTTCCTCTTCATTATAAGACAGTTTTTTCATGGTGAATGCATTTTGCTTTCCTAATGTAGGTATTCACAAATGTGCCTTTTCCAGCCACGAAGGGATTGTCACCACAGCAGGTGAGAGCATGGATCCTAGCTTGGCTAGGCACTCAGGCTAGCAGGACTTGAGCTAGTTTACTAAAAATAGCAGTCAGGGTTATAGAGCCCACACTGTAGTGTTCACACTGCTATTTTTAGTGCACTAGCACAAGCACTGCTAGTGGAAACCTGTCTACCAAAGCTGGAAGACTTGATCTCAGGCACAGCGTAGAATTGTAGACATCCCTAAAGGGGAGCAGAACACCCCACAGATTAGCATGTGTATGTTAAGCATGTAGTAGGGTGCCTAATATGCAGACATTATTATTGCCGCTGTTCATGTAAATTTGTCTAACCACATGTCAATTGTTAATTTTGATTATTTGTTTATGTAGTTACCCAACTTGCATTGCAGTAATGATAATTAGGTGTACGCAACTACATGTCCATTTTGAATAGGCAATTGCATGTCCATAAGATTCTTGAAAATATGGCCCATATTTTTTTTATTCATTAGATAAAAAATTCATACATTTATAGAAAAGTGTAGAAGCCCACATATAGCAGTCAGAATGTGTCACACAAAACACACTCTGGACAAGTTTATGTTGCAAATGTGAGTTGCAAAATTCATCACAGAATTATGTGAATGGATACCATAAAAGCAATCAGGATGTAAGTAGCACATTTCTTGAATTTTCCAGTTACAATTATGAATATTTTTCCAATTTTCTGTAATCTAATCTAACATAAAAATTACAATACCATTTTACTATAATTTTTATAGTTCACAAGATTAACATTAGCTCTTGGTTACATAATTGCCACTCCAGTGAAATCAGTGAGGTTGAATAAGTATAAACCAAGGCCTAATTTGAATTAATTCCAATATATTTAATACATTGATAGACGTTTATCTGATGAAAATGAAGACAAACATATGGCCTATGGGGGCTCACTCCTGTCACTGCATTTTATACAAACCTCTCCACTGACTTTGGCAAAAGTTCTGTTTGTGAAATAGTGTCAGAACTAGAAACTGAGTCAACTGTGATGTGTCACAACTTTGATGTGGCTCTAGATTGCATCAATTGTTTTAATAGAAATACTCTAGACTTCTGCCACTATATGGAAAATCAGAATTTGGCTCATATTTTATGCACTTGGACATTTACAATTAAGGGTGAGAATAGTAGGATATTTCCAAGGACTCTATATTGGAAGCATTGGTTGTACGGGGGGTGAGTTAACTGTTCAAATCCCCATTAATGTCAATGAAAGTGAGTTAGGCTGAAACAGCACACAATAATTTCAAAATGGACCTTTATATGTATTTTAGATTCTCTAAGAATTCCAAAAGATTTTCAGGCAGAGTCTCAGAGATCTTTCAGAGGTGTTGTGTAGAGTACAACCTATGATGATTTTTCCTGTTCCTGGGTCTGAATATTAGTATAAATCAGAAGTAAATCCAGTTATAAATGTGTGGACCCTTGAAATCAATGCTATTGTACTGCTCTAAAATCTGGGAGAGATAAGAGGAATCAAGCCACTCTCTTTATTATGAGCTTTTCATAGGATGAGAAATATATTTTCTTCTTGAATGCAGTGCAAATTTTCCTAGAAGAGCCGTTTTGCAAACAAGCTATTTAAGTACTAAAGAAGACATTGATTGGTTTTAAATGGCAGCTACAATTCAAGTGCATGTAAAGACAAGTGTATTTGCTTTTTAGGTTAAGTCTATATTTAATAATTGAAGGAAAAATACAGTAAGAGCCGATGGAGGAAACATCTGTGGAAAAATATTATATGGTAACTTACAACTGCCATAATGGCAATTGCCTTAACAGATCATATAGTTCCACTCAGCACATTTTTAAAGCAAATTATTCTTTTGTTACCTATGCCTTTTGTATTTATGTTTAGGTAAGGTTTAAAAAAGACTTGTCTTAAATCAGGAATCTTAACACAGCCAATATCAGAAAGAGTTAGAACTAACATGATATCCAATTACTTGTTCAACTCCTTTGTCTTATCTATTTTGTTCTCCTTTGGTTGGAAAAATGCCATTCGTCCCCTTCCACAAATGTTTCCAGTTTCCCCAGTTTCATTTTAATGCATTAGCTTTGGTTTAATATACACAGGACCACATTTTGCAACTGTTACCTTGAATGGTACATTTAATGAAAATCAAGCTCGCTGAGTGAGCACTAATCAGAGGAAGTAATAGTTGTAGAGTCGAACCATATGGCTACGTCTAGACTGGCCCCTTCTCCAGAAGAGGCATGCAAAGCAGGCAAGTCAGAATAGGGAAATCCGTGGGGGATTTAAATATCCCCCGTGGGATTTAAATAAACATGGCCGCCGCTTCTTTTCCGGCTTGGGGAAAAGCCGGAAAAGAGAGTCTAGACTGGCGCGATCCTCCGGAATAAAGCCCTTTTCCGGAGGATCTCTTATTCTTACTTGCAAGTAGGAGGATCACGCCAGTCTAGACGCTCTTTTCCCCAAGCCGGAAAAGAAGCGGCGGCCATGTTTATTTAAATCCTGCGGGGGATATTTAAATCCCCCGCGGATTTCCCTATTCTGATTTGCCTGCTTTGCATGCCTCTTCCGGAGAAGGGGCCAGTCTAGACGTAGCCATAGTGTATATTTTATTCATAAAGAATTTTGCTTCTGTTTGTTTGCATTAGTGTTGCCTGACTCCCATAGTGCTTTTGAGGAGCCCTCTCTACCCAAAGAGTTTACAGTCTAAATAGACAAATAGGACAAATTGTGGAACAATGGACATATTATCCCCATTTTACAAATAAGGGTCCAGGGAGGTGAATTGTGCAGGGTCACACAGGAAGTTAGTGGAAGATGCAGGAGTTAAGCCCAGATCTCCTGACTTTCACAATATTATCCTTCCTCTCCATCTAGAATTCCAAATCTTGAAGCCATTACTCAAGCAACACTTCTATTTTCTTCAGTGACATTTTGGACTGCAGGATTTGACCCAAATGCATATGGGTAGTACGCATATTCACCGTAATGTGTGTGCAAATGCATCTTCTGGGTGTGCATGCATGTTTGTTGTGTGCCACTTGTGTATGAATATTTGAATTTCTGTTCTTCTGGAAATATAAATCTTAATAATATTTAATACATTGGCTTTCAACTACATCCTGCTGAGCAAGTCTCTGGGTAACTTATCAGTACAGCTGGCCTGCAGAAGGTTTCCTCAGTGGCTGCCAGGACCAGCAAGCTGGCCCTTAAGGCAGCAATGCTGGCCTCTCGGTGCCAACTGGCCTTTCAGTGCTCATGCCTACAACTGTGCCTACTCCTCTGATACTTTGTTCCTCCTGCTTCTACCTTGCATCCAGCCTTGCCTCTGCCCTTCTCCTGCCTTGAGTCCCTCCTTGCTAGAAAGCCTGCTTGCTCCAGTTCCTTACCTTCCATCTGACCTTTGACTCTGGCTCCTGACTTCTAACTCCACATTGACTCCTTGCTGAGGTATCCAGCTCCTGCCCTTCAGTTTGACTCCAGTATCTGACTACTGTACCAACTTCCTGATGATTGAAAGCACAAAGGTTATTATAGTCTCGGGGTGAGCAAATTCCAACACACAGGCCAGATCTGGTCTGCAAGGTTAGTCCCTGGTGGGCCCCCACCTCCATATGTACCTGCACCTCCGCAGCCCTGGTTGACCACACATTGCCTAATTGAGTAGCAGGAAGTGGCATCCAGTCTGTGACGCTTCCCACCGCTCGCATTGGCTGTGAATGGTGATTCGCGGCCAAACAGAGTTGCGAACCTCCAATACCTGCTGAGGTGCAGGTAAACATAGCGATGGTGGCCTGCAGGCTGCCTTTTTTTTTATGGCCCACCCCTGTTGTAGTGAGAAGCAGACCCAACAGAATGCAAAGGATGGTTTGGCTTTCACAGTAGGGAGTGGCAGGGGCATCATGAAAAGGCAATGAATGTATAAGTTGGGAACAGGCAGAGTTAAGCAGAGCCTTAAAGGACAAGAAGCCAAATATTTGATGTGTTGGGGAATGAACTTAGTGACTCAAAGAGGAAATGACTTGGTTAGAGTAGTGGACATGAAAAATTGTCTTAATGATTGTGTTTTGTATGGGTTGTGGGCAGCAAGGAGGCAGCGGTTACAGCATTAAAGATGGGAGATAAGGGGACCTAGAGTGAGAGAAAAGCTTGAATCTCAGAAGTGTTGTGAAGGAAGAAACCTCAGAATTTTCACAGGTCCTGGCTGTGTGGGGCAAAGGAGAGAGGAATCAGATGACACTGAGGAAACTGCACAGCCCTTCTCTGGATTCGTCATTTAACCACAGCGTGACAGTTATTTGGTTGTATGAAGGAAGTGACAATAAGGCATCAGTGGCTGAAGTTTTAAACGCAATATATGCGGCTTGAATACAAGAAAGTGGTGAAATGGTTTGGTATAAATGTTTAATTAGCACTAGTCTGGGTTAACCCTGTGATGATGTCACTTGAGAGAAATGATACCATCCAAGATGGATGCCAAATAATTTTTTTCCACACCCGCTGTTTTCATAGATAGCAATATGTGTGTGCATGCACACACACCTTTGTTCTACTCTCTACTCTGATTAGATGATTTTTGATAACCTCAAATTCAACAGCATAAAAGATGTCAAACAGAACACACAAACTTACAGGGGAAATACTAAAGTTAACAGTGAACTTTCTGCTTTAACTAATCATTCAACTCTACAGTTTTCAAAGATTCCCTTCTCAGTTGAATGCATGTTGATAAAGATCACCTGTATACTTCATCTCTGTCCCACCTCATCACTTCCCAATCTACTGCTTTTCTCTATGGTGTCTATTCCCCTTAAAATCCAATCTCCTAGTTATAGAAGTGCTTATTAAAAGCTTGACTATAAAGTCTTTGTTT